AGGTCTTAAGCTCGGGAAAAAGTGAAATTTAAGAGATACCTGCAGAGAGAGGATATGGGAAAGAGGGCTCAGGATGAAGCCCTAAGAACACAGTGTTCAGGGGTTCTGTGAAAGCAGGGGTCCCTGCCGAGGAGACGGGGCACGAGACGAGGCTGTGGGGTCAGAGGAGCTAAGTGGGAACGTGTCCAGGACGGTGAGGATGGATCCTGAAGCATTTGGCTAAGTGAAGGACACCACATCCGAAAGCTTGCACGGTCTAGGATGGCACGGGTAGGACATTCTGGAAAAGACAGATTACAGGGAGAGAAACAGATCCGTGGTTTCCGTGGTCGGGGTGCAGGGAGGGTGGATGACAGAAAGTCAGCACGAGGCAATCTGGGGTGCGGTGGAGCTGTTTTGTCTCGTGGGTGTGACGCTGGGTACGACTTTGCGTTTCTCAAAGACCCGACAACTGCACACTGCGGAGAAGGGATGCTACTGTATGAGACAGACAGACAGACGGCTGGGGTGGAACTGAGCTGGGGATGTAACGTACGTTCCTCCTTTACAGAGCGCAGCTCCTTGAACAGAGCACACCCCTGGCCCCGAGTGCGCACCTGTTGTGGGTAAACGCCCAGGCGCAAGCAACTTAGCATTGGTGGGGGTGGGGCGTGGGCAGCCTGGGTTCTTCTCTCCCCGGTGCCTGACAGCCTGTGACGCAGGCAACTCCTGTGGCTCCTCAGGGCTCTCTTTCCTCATGGAGACGGTGGGAACAGCGGGCTTCCCAGGGCTTCAGCGGGAGGCTGCAGGGCTCTAAGCAGTTACCATTGCAGCCTTCAGCACCTGGCACTGCCCCTCTTCCCACGGCTGGCGGCATGTCCCTCCCCTCCCGGAAACCACCAGCCTCAGGTTTGGTCCGCTCTCCACCACATGGGCCAGCTTCTCCGTGCACCTCCAGCCTCTGTTTACCGGCACGGGGTCACACACGGCCACGGAGCTCAGCACCTAGCCCAGTGCCTGGCACATAGTAAATGCTCAGGAAACATGCTGGCTCGTACTCTTTCAGGATCAGGGTGTTTCCCATCTTGATAGCGTGCTGTGGGCGTATTTGGCTCTCTCTGAAAGTGAAGTCAGTGCCGAGATGAGGGGCTGCCACCCTCGAGGAGGCTTAGGGACGTGTCGGAATCTCACTCAGCAGTGCCAGAGTGCGCAGTCTGCCGGGTGAACACAGGAGTAGGCGATGAGAACCGTCAGCAAGGGTGACAAAAGTATGGTGGCTTGAAGGGGCAGTGCTAAGTCACAGCCTCCCCGGGGCCGTGCTTGTGTGAAAATGGACAAGCACGCATGTGCCTTGGGTGCTGGGTTGTGTGGGGTGCTGGGGATTAGAGATGCTGTGTCCGTGGAGCCCTGTGATGGAAGGAAGGGGACAGGCAGGCGAGAGCTCCCCCCAGTGCCCCTGGGCCCTGCACACAGAGGGGCACAGGTGCATGGGAGGGAGGCAGATACCTGGGGTACGTAGAGGGGCGTGTCCAGGACCAAGTGTGATGCAGAAGCCACTTCTCGGCACCAAGCTCCCAAAGCAAGAGTCTTCCCGGGGCTGGGGAGCAGCTGCCTTCCCTCCTGCCCTCTGCCCTGGCCCCTCCCAGGTCTGGCAGGTGCTGGGATCATCCTGGCCCAGCTCCACCTGCAGATCCAGCTCTCTTCTCTTCACCCACAGCGCCCGCCTTTCGGCAGCTTAAAGGCTTAGACGTGACCTTGAAAGCCGTGGTGTGCTCTGCTGGGCCCTCCCTCCACGCTGGCAGGGATTGAGCACTCGGCTCAGCCCCGCGCAGATGTGTGAGCATCATGCCCTTGAACTTGGCCCAGGGAGGTTCCTGATCCCAGCAAAGTCCGTGGGAGGAGGAGGATGCACCAGCACCCGGATTCTGATCTATTGCTCTTGCTCACCCCCTCTTCCCTGTGAAATCCATTTCTCCTTCTCGTCATGTTCATAAACCAAGGCTGCGTGTCCCCTGGACTGGGGGGACAGTCGCACCTGTAAATTAACCATGCTCAGAGTGACCGGCAGCCTAGATGGGCTCAGCACAGTGCCCGTGACAGTCACTTAATCCATGCAACCCCCAGGTGTGTTGGGACTCCCATGCATGCAAGCCCTGGAGGTGTTAAGCTATTTGCCACAGTCAGAAGGGGCGGAGGCACTTCCTGAACCCCAAGTCCAAGGCCCTGGGCCCTGCCCAGGAGGTCTCCCTTCAGAGTTGTTGCTGAGGGTGGGAGGGGCAGAGGCCCTGCTGAGCTCCTTGGCTGCTCTGTGGCCCAGCCCCCAGCTCCCCTCCAGTTTCTAGAGGAGCCACCTCCCAACTGGGGCGGGACCTGGTCCTGGCTCCCAGCCACCAGCTAGGGAGGAGGAGTGGCCGGCTGCCTGCTTGCGACCTTGGGGTCCGTGCCAGCCGTGCACAACAGCAAGCTGCCTCCTCTCGTCCTATGAGAAGGCTTTATCACTCTTGGAAGCTGTTCAGATGCCCAGAAGACTCGCGGCTCAGCGCGGGTGCTCGATCAATGCTTGTTAAAGAAACTTCCCGGGTGGAAACCCCTCCTCTCGCAGCTTAACTGGGCCCTAAGCTCTGAAAAGACTGCTTTCCCCAGTGACCATTTCTTCCTCTTGCATTTGCTGCGGATCGCCACTGATGGGCAGGTGGCCAGAGAGGTTAAACGACTCAACCAGGGTCTCACACACACACAGGGTGTCTCTCTCAGTCCCTCTCTCTCTCTCTCTCTCTCTCTCTCACACACACACACACACACACAGGGTGTCTCTCTCAGTCCCTCCCTCCTCCTCTCTCTCTCTCTCACACAGGGTGTCTCTCTCAGTCCCTCCCTCCTTCTCTCTCTCTCTCTCTCTCTCACACACACACACACACACACACAGGGTGTCTCAGTCCCTCTCCCTCTCCCCCTCCCCCCCTCTCTCACACACACACACTCAGACCCTGGTCTACAGTGCGGCTCCACCTCCCAGGTCTGGCCTCTGTGTCTGGGTACCCCGAGCCAGTGGCATTCCTCTCTGAGCCCCAGAGGGACGTGTGCACGGCCACAGTGCTTGTCTCCCGGGTTCGGGGTGCACCCGGGAGATTGGGCAGGCACAGAGGATGTTGGGTCACAAGCAGCCGGGGGTGCCACTGGTTAAAGCCACGCCATGGAAGGCATCCGCTGTCCTCCACGGCACTCGGCCCACATGTGGGGGCGCAGGCCGAGGTCTCTTCCTCCCAAGGACAAAGCCATTTATAACCCAAGTCCCCTCCCTGCGGGAGGCCGGGTGCTGTGTCCTGGGCAGCAGAGAGGCAGCAGGACTTTAAGGCTCAGAGAGTTCCCAGGCTTGGATAATTATCACCAGCTCTCAGAACACCGGTTTGGAGACGCGGGAGAAATGTCTGTCATTCCCGACAGCTCCGTTTCTCCTGGAAACAAGATCCTGGCCCCGGGAATGCTGAGCCTCCCCCTCCCCCTCCCCCTGTGTAAGTCTCCACTCGGAGCCGACACACCTGGACGCAGGTGAGTGCCCCTGAGATGGGGGGGAGCGAGTCCATTCAAGAAATGCGATTACAAGAGAGGAGTGAGGAACCTGCTTCTCGTTCAACGCTGCTTGTTTCTACGTGGGTGCGTTTTCTTGGTGTCCAGGGGGCTGGTGTTTTCTGTGTTTTGTAGGGAAACTCTGACCATAAAAATCAGAAGAGTTTCCAGATGAGGGGAAAACAGTCTTTTCAGAGCTTAGGGCCCAGTTAAGCTGCGAGAGGAGGGGTTTCCACCCTGGAAGTTTATTTAACAAGCATTGATGGAGCACCCACCCGCGCTGAGCCGCGAGTCTTCCAGGCATTTGAGGGACTTCCAAGGGTGATAAAAGCCTTCTCATAGGATGAGAGGAAACAGCTTGTTTTTGTTGAGATTCTACCACTGGCTGGGTGTTCAGCTTAGCGGTTCAGACTCCAGTTGAGACACCCGTGTCCCATATCAGAATACCTGGGTTCGAGTCCCAGGTCCAGCATCTGACTCCAGCCTCCTGCTGATGCACACCCTGGGACACAGTGCTGAAGGCGCAAGTAATTGAGTCCCTGCCACTCACCCGGGAGACGTGATTGAGTTCCTGACTCCAGCTTCAATGTGGCCTGGCCCGGTCATGACCACTGCAGGCATCTGGGGAGCGGACCAGCAGATGGGAGTGCTGAGTCTGTCAGTCTGTCTCTCTCTCTCCCTCCCTGCCCCCTCCTGTTCTGCCCCAAATAAATAAATTTAAAATTGTTTAATTTACCATTTTTTTAATTTAATTGCTTGTTAGGGTCTATTGAGAACCCATCGTGAGCCAGGCCTGGCGTCAGTACTACAGGTGCCACAGGGGATAGGGCAGTGTGGCTCCCTGCCTTCTGGAAGGTTCTGGTCCGGCTGGGGGATGAGGACCAGTGGGGTCTGCAGGGGTCTGACTGGGACTTGTGGAAATGATGGCTCTTTGCGAGGGTGGGTGTCTCCATCAGTCACCTGGGTGGGGGAGGTGACGAGGGGCCATCTCCCCACTCCTGGGGGGCTGGGGTTTGCTCAGGGCTGCTGGGGGGTGCAGGGATGGTTCTCAGCCCCTGCACTTTGGTGTGGAGCTGCTGGGTCACATGATGGCTGCCTACGTCACCTTCTGAGCCGCCGCAGGTTTCCTTCCAAAGCTCTGCCCTCCTGTGTTCCCACCAGCAACGTTGAGGCTTCCGATGTCCGCACATCCTCGCCAGCCCTCAGGTGCAGGCCACCCTGGGCATGTGGAGTGGCTTGTCCCTAACCCACAGCTGACTCACAGGTGCTAGGGTATCAGTGGGCAGTCAAGTACCCAGCAGACCTATGTAGGGGCTGGTCTGCCCTGGCCTGAGAGACGCCAGCCCTGTCCCGGTCACTCTGACACCGGGTGGGCTCTGCACTTCCTTGGGGGTCTCACAGACGTCCAGTGAGGCTCCTGCCCGTGACTGACCCTCTGCTGTCTCCTCTTCCAGCCATCCACGAGTTCCCGGCAGACCTGTTCTCCAACAAGGAGCGGCAGCACGGAGCCGTCTTGCTGCATATTCTTGGTGTAAGTGGCCTGGCGCGTGCGACGTCCCTAACTCGTGGCAGGTGGATCTGCTGCCCCAGAGCCAGCATGAGAATGCGAGTTTTGGCTGCGCCTCATTTCCTGTTTGTGTGCAGTAGAGAGGATGGCAGCGACTCCAGGTGCAGAAGTGGGAGGGGTGTGGGTCAAGGGCATCGGGCATTGTGAGGCACGTGGTTAGTCCTCTGAAAATGCTCACTGCCGGGACACCCTTGGCTGCCCAGAAAATGTAGCCTGGGTGCCCTTCCTCTCGAGCGCCCCTCTCTGCACCTTGATGATGAGCGGTAGAGGTCAATTTGAAAAGGAGTAGTGGGCTCAAAGTTCAATGAGGCACTTGTCTTCATGACCCTGGCCTGATCTGGCTCACTGCCTGTGTTTGTCGATAAAGTTTTATTGGAACACAACCCCCCCTTCATTTCTGTGTCATCGCCACTTCTTGGGCAGAGCTGGGTCGCACCAGAGAGTGGGTGGCCCACAAATCCAGAGATGCCTGCCCTGTGGCCCTTTACAGGAAGGTTGCTGCCTCGGGCCTGAGGTTTGGGGAAGCCAGAGCGGTGAGGCTTGGCTTTCCTCCTTTGGCTCAGCCATGCCAGATCTCGACCACCCAGCACCAGCCGCGTGCAAATCTAAACCCAGTCGAGCCTTACTCTGTACAAGAGAATTAAGAAAGTGAAATCCGGGCTTCTCACCTGGAGAATGGCAGCCCAAGGGCGTGAATGGTGAGGTTTTAATGAGCAGGACGAGCCACTACTGAAGATGAGGGTTCGAATGAGCATTGCAGGCAAACTTGGAATTATTCCCGTAGCAGAGCCGTGATCCGCCTCGTGTCTGGGCTGTGCTCCCTGCGTTCCACTGAGGGCTGGGGTCTGCGATGCTGCAGCCCTGCCTCACGGAGCTAAGGCAGAACCTTTTCTTGCTGATGGCCACTTGGGACGCCTGTGTCCCCTGTTGGAATGCGTGGGAATGAGTCCCAGCTCCTCTCCTTCAAATCCAGCTTCCTGCAGATGTGCAGGGGGGGCAGCGGAGGATGGCTCAAGTCCTCAGTCCCTGCCACCCCCACAGGAGACTCGGATGGAGGTCCGGGCTCCTGGCTTCAGCCTGGCCCAGTCCCAGTTGTGAGCATCTGGGGAGTGAACCAGCAGATGGGAGACTCTCTCGCTCGCTCGCTATTGTTCTGCCTTTCAAATATATAACAGTAAAGAGAGAAACTTTAAAAAAAAAAAAAAACCATTTTTTTCCCCGAGTCTGAGCATACCCCATGAATTTCGTGGGAACCCTTAGAGCAAGGATTAACCAAACTGTGTCTGGAGCCGAATCCAGCCACCCCTATCCTTTTTTTAAATTTTTTTATTTTATTTATTTTTTTATTTTTTGACAGGCAGAGTGGACAGTGAAAGAGAGAGACAGAGAGAAAGGTCTTCCTTTGCCATTCGTTCACCCTCCAATGGCCGCCGCGGTGACACACTGCGGCCGGTGCACCGCGCTGATCCGATGGCAGGAGCCAGGTACTTATCCTGGTCTCCCATGGGGTGCAGGGCCCAAGCACTTGGGCCATCCTCCACTGCACTCCTGGGCCACAGCAGAGAGCTGGCCTGGAAGAGGGGCAACTGGGACAGAATCCGGCGCCCCGACTGGGACTAGAACCCGGTGTGCCGGCGCTGCAAGGTGGAGGATTAGCCTAGGGAACCACGGCGCTGGCTACCACCCCTATCCTTATAAATAAAGTTTTATTGGCACACAGCCACACGCAGTTATGGCCGCTGCTTTCCTACTCTGGTCAGTTCATTGGAACAGAGACCATTGGATCAGCAAAGGCTGGAATAGTCCTGTCGGGCCCTCCTTTGTCGGTGGTGCTGCCAAGTTTTCCGGCTCTCCCCGGCTGGTGGGACGGAAACCACGGCGCCATCTTGGGCCCTCTTTGCTCTCCAGTGTCTCTGAAGGCGTCCTGGGGAGGTGTTGGAGGAGTTGCTGTGGGTGTGACTTTAAGTCAGAATTCTGAGACCGGGGCGGGCGCACTTCCCTTTACCCACACTCCTGCTGGTTTCCCCTCTTTCTCCCCACCCCCACCCCGCACCCGGGAGGTAGGAAGTCAGATCCAGGGGCGGTCAGCCTCGGATGCCGTGGCCACAGCTAGCGCGTCCTCCTCGCTACGCAAGTGCAGTTGATTAGTTGCGAGTCTGTCGGGTATCACGTCGTCTTGGCTGAAGCACCTGGCCTTTCTCTCTTTGCCAAACAGGGCAGCCACACGTTGTTCAGTGGAGACAGAAATGGCTTCCCCAGTGCTTAGACTAAAACCCACCTCCTTCCTGTGGGTCCTGGCCCTTTCTCCCGCTCCCACGTCGCCATCTCCCTTTTCCTCCCCACTCTGTGACCTTGCTGTTTCTCTGTGCACCAAGCTCACCGTGCCGCAGGGCCTTTGCACTTGCTGCTTCCCGGTAGTGGCAGCTACTCTGTCTGCTTGTGTGTTCCCACCGAGGTAAGTTTCAGGAGATGGAGGCTTTTCCTCGCACCCCCTAAACTGTATCCCTGATCCCTGGAGAGCTTCCTGGCCCCGCGGATGAACTCAGCAAGCCATGCGGATGGCTGCATAGACGGTGGGGCAGGGAGAGAATCTGGATATTGAGGTGTTTCAAAGGCCCCTGCTCTGTTCTTTTTTCTTTTAATAAGGATAGCAGGGGCCGGCGCCGCAGCTCACTAGGCTAATCCTCCGCCTGCGGCGCCAGCACCCCGGGTTCTAGTCCCAGTTGGGGCGCAAGATTCTGTCCCGGTTGCCCCTCTTCCAGTCCAGCTCTCTGCTGTGGCCCGGGAGGGCAGTGGAGGATGGCCCAAGTGCTTGGGCCCTGCACCGCATAGGAGACCAGGAGGAAGCACCTGGCTCCTGGCTTCAGATCAGCTCGGTGCGCCAGCCGCAGCAGCCATTTAGGGGGTGAGGAAGACCTTTCTCTCTGTCTCTCTCTCTCACTGTTCACTCTGCCTGGTCTCTCTCTCTCACTGTTCACTCTGCCTGTCAAAAAAAAAAAAAAAAAAAAAAGCAGGGCATGTGTGTGTGTTAGTGTGCGTGCGTGTGCGTGTGTGTGTGTGTGTGAATTTTACTTGAAAGGCAGAGCGACAGAAATCTGAAAGCCAGTGGTTCAGTCTCTAAACGCTCACAGCAGCCAGGGCTGGGCCAGGCCAAAGCTAGGAGCCCAGAGCTCCATCTGAGTGTCCCACGTGGGTGACAGTGACCCAGCTCCCTTGCTTTCCGGGGTGAGCATTGGCAGGAGCTAGAATCAGGCAGGAGGCACAGCTGGGACACCAGTCTGGGCACTCCAGTGTGGGACGCGCGAGTCCCAGGCAGGTCTTAACAGCTGTGCCCGGTGCCCGCGCTGTGACCTGTTCTCACTCCATCACCAAACAGATGATGAAGGGCCGACAGACGTGGCTTCTCCATGCCAGATTCGGCATGGAATCAAGTCTTTGCTCCATGCCAGTGCTTTGACCGCGTGCCAGCGTCAGGGAGCAGCCCAGGGTGTGCCGGCTGTGGATTCCTTGGCCGTTGGTGAGGAGGAGCCGCCGTCACTGAAGATGCAGGGAGCGCGGGGTGATGGTTATTTAGAATGCTCCCCGGGGGCTCTGGTGCTTCCTCCTGGCCTTCGGGGCAGAGCCGGCCTCTGGGAAACAGCCGCTGTTTTTTTTTTTTTTTTTTAAAGATTTATATTACTTATTTGAAACACACACACACACAGAGAGAGAGAGAGAGAGAGAGATCTTCCATCTGCTGCTTCACTCCCCACATGGCCACTACAGCCAGGGCTAGGCCAGGCTGGAGCCAGGAACCAGGAGCTCGGAGCTCCATCCGGGTCTCCCAAGAGCAGCTGTTTGAAGAAAAACCGTTGGAGGCAGGAAGAAACCATCGCATCCCGCCCTCAGACTCGGCACTCCCGACTTCACCTCCGGGCACCCACATGGGTGGGAGTGATTCTGCAGTGGGCGTCTCACTCGACCCGGTCCCCAGACCGCCTGCCTGGAAAGTGTGAGCTCCAGGGGTGGTGGGCACCGTCCCACAGGACTGCCCCACACTTCGCATGCCAGGTGCCAGGCCCACGCGGTTCTGCCCGAGCTCTGGCCGGCTGGCCGCAGACGGGAGCATCTCCTTCCTCAGGTCTGATTAATTTGCTGGCACAGCAAGCAGAGAGCGGTCCTCCCACACTTGCCCCTTGTTCTCAAGATGTGACAGAGGGACACAGAGGAGCAGCAGGTCGGGGAGAGGCCTGGGGCAGGCAAGGAACCGTCCATGGATGCACACCTGGGAGGCAGTGGAAGATGGCCCAAGTACTTGGGTCCCTGCCACCCACATGGGAGACCCGGATGGAGTTCCTGGCTTCTGGCTTCAGCCTGGCCTTGCCCTGGTCATTGTAGGCACCTGGGGAGTGAGCCAGTGATGGGCGCTGTCTCTGTGCATGCGTGCGTATGTGTGTGTGTGTGTGTCTGTCTTCCAAGTAACATTAATAAACCAGTGTTCATTGAAATGTATATTATAAAAAATGCAGGGATTTACATTGTGGGGAGGGGCACCAGAGCAAGCTTATCATTTAATTCCGTCTTCCTGTGAGCGCTTTGAAGTTCTTTTGAATGTGGGGAGGGGGCGTGGAGCTTCCGGCCCGCTCTAGGGCTGCGCCGTGCAGGAGTCTCCGTGCGTGCAGCTGCCCAGAGGCTCCCCGGGGCCTGTCCTCGGGGTTTCTCCCACGTAGGCCCGAGAGACAGCAGCAGCAGCCGCAGGTGGTCAGCTCAGCCTCAGCCCTGCCCCCGCCCACAGCACGCCGGGCAGTGGAGCTGAAGCCGCATCCAGGTGCTGTTGCGCGGCCTCCAGCCACCAGCCGTCCTTTCGCCTGGAGAAGACCAGAATCACTCGGGAGAGCCTAAGGCTGCCTGTGCGCAGGGAGCCAGGGCCAGGGACCTGATCCACGGCAGAGAATTCGTTAGTTTATAGAGAGAGGGAATGTTGGTGCGGACAAATTTGAAATCAGTCTGCATTTTCCGTGAGCTCTTGGGAGCCGCCTCAGATGGCTCGTGATGTCGCGTCCCGGGGAGAGAGCGGCTGGAGCCAGGCGTCCCGGGGAGCAGCTTGGCCTCGGTGCTAAGCACCTGCTCCTCAGTGAGGAGACGGAGGAAGCTCAGCTCTGTGGTCTGGAATGTTCCTGTGGGTCCATGTGCCGGCCTGAGCCCCAGCAGCCTGGCTGGGGCAGGGTGGGCCCTGGGCAGCAGCCCCAGGAGTCCTCGCTGACCCCCGCGTCCCCGCTCCCTCTACAGGCTCTGTATATGTTCTACGCCTTGGCCATAGTGTGCGACGACTTCTTTGTCCCATCCCTGGAGAAGATCTGCGAGGTACGAGGGACGCTGTGGTGGGGCCTGGGGCTGGGGGCGCTGGAGGACGTGCACACGACAGGCGGAAAAGGCCCGGCTGGCGTGGGAGTTCCCGGGGGTGAAGACTGACAGACAGCAGGCATCTAGCGATTGCGTGGCGGTTTCCAAATGAGCGCCGGCAGGTGCATTCTGTCCCAGGCTTGGCCGAAGGGACACTCCCCGTGTGGCCTCCAGGGCCTCTGGTGTGGTGGGAGAGCCCAGGCAGGCCCGGCCCCTGTGCCGAGCACCTCCTGTCTCCCGTGCAGGGAGCAGGAGCCAGGCCTTGAGGATACTGGGCTGCAGTGACTCAGGATCCACTGCGCTCTGACCCTTGTGGGCCAACACTTTCTCCTTTGGATGATTTGATTTTATTTCTGCCTGTAGTCCAGACCCCACTTTCTCTCTTGATGCTGCCTTACTCTTGATTTCCAGTCAAAGAAGGAAAACTGCTTTTGTCTACAGGAGAGAGGCAGTATCTCTACTGGGGAGAAGCTGGGAGGGCTTCATGGAGGAAGTGGTGTTGGGAAAGATTTCAGAAAGTACCTAGGAGAGGGCAGGGTGTTCTGGGAGGAAGGGATGGCCGTGGCCAAGGCAGGGAGGAGGCAGGACAGGAAGGGGCACAGCTGGGAGTCTGCTGCAGGTGGTCGGCTGGGCTCTATGGCAGAGCCTCTGGGGGTGCGAAGGTGGCTGGGCTCCCACCTCGGGACCCGTGCTTCATCCCAGCCTCTGCCAAGACCAGTGCTCAGACCGTTCTGAGAGAGAGGGGCAGATGGGCGAGAGGGTGGGGCTGTGAGTTGAAGCTGGGTGCAGGACCCCAGGGGGGGTCTGCCCTGAGGAGCGGGCTCAGGCCACGGCTCTGCCCCCTAAGGCTCCGGGGCCGCTTCTGTTGTAGAAACTCCACATGAGCGAAGATGTGGCCGGCGCCACCTTCATGGCTGCGGGAAGCTCCACGCCAGAGCTCTTTGCCTCCGTGATTGGTAAGAAAACTGCGCCAGCCCGAGACAGAAGGGGGCATCCGGCGCGGTGGCCCAGGCCGTGGGCTTCCTTCAGCTCAGAGCCCCGATCTTCTCTGGGAAACTGGAGAACTGCGGAGACGGGAGTCCTGTTTCTGGGGTGCGGGGTGTGAATGGGTGTGAGGGTTCTGGGGGAGGTGAAACTGTTCTGAAATTAGATTGCCATTTTGGCTGCACAATTCTGTGAATACACAAAGTCCTTGGGAGGTAGAGACTTTCAGTGGGCGCCTTTTATGACACGTGAATTGTTACTTGACAAAGAAACGGGAAGGTCTGAAACTGCTGCTGTGGCGTAGCAGGTAGAGCCGCCGCCTGCAATGCTGGCATCCCAGATGGACACCGGTTCAAGTCCTGGTGGGTGGCTCCACTTCCAATCCAGCTCTCTGCTATGGCCTAGAAAAGGAGCAGAAGATGGCCCAAGTCCTTGGGCCCCTGCACCCGTGTGGGAGACCCAGATGAAGCTCCTGGCTTCTGCCTAGCCCAGCCCTGGCCATTGTAGTCATCTAGGGAGTGAACCAGCAGGTAGAAGATTCCCTCTCCCCCTCCCCCTACCCCTCCCCCCCTCTGTCTGTCAAATAAATAAATAAATAAATCCTTAAGGAAAGAAGAAATGGGAGGATCTGAGCTGGTGGGGCCCCTGCACCTCCCTGGCTTTGCTGCTCTCTCTGCCGTGTTATCTTCATCATTTGAGAGACAAAGCGAGAGAAAGTTCCCATCCCCAGTTTGCTCCCCGGATGCCCACAACAGCTGGGCCTGGGCCAGGCCAAAACGGGGAGCCGTGAACTCAGTCCAGGTCTCGTGTCGGTGGCAGGGGCCCAATTCCGTGAGCTGTCACTGCTGTCTCCCAGGCTGTGCGTTAGCAGGAGGCTGGAGTTGGGAGTCGCAGCTGAGTTCTGAGTCCGGGCACTGTGAAGTGGGACACGAGTGTCCTAACTGGCTGCATGCCCACCCGGGGGGACTCTTAGACGATAAGAACCACACTCAGGGCTCACGGAGGAACGGGCAGGCCCAGGCGGTGCCACTGAGGGCCGGGATTTGTGCCTGTCCCCTCCCAGGCGTGTTCATCACCCACGGAGACGTTGGCGTGGGCACCATCGTGGGCTCTGCCGTGTTCAACATCCTGTGCATCATCGGGGTGTGTGGATTATTCGCGGGGCAGGTGAGTGCCTTCTCCCAGCCTGCAGGGGGCGGGGATTATGCTTTCATAAAGAGAGTGGGGGCCATGGCCAGGACGCCCAGGGCCCAGCGCGTCGGGACCAGTCACTCCCTGTGGCTGCCACCGCGCCCACTTCCTCTTGAGTGAAGACCAGCAGCGACCAATCCAAGGGCAGACCCTCACTGGACAGCAGTCGCTGGGCAAGCAGTGGCACCTGCAACCCTGGCCCTGAGACTGAGGACCTAGCATTGGCCTTCCCGGCAGGTGCCAAGCTGGCTTACGGCTGGGATCCCCTGGGAGGTCCCCAGAGCCATAAGGGGATGTGAGACTTGACCTCAGAGAGGCAGGCTCGTGGGTGAGGCCTGGCAGGAAGGGTTGGGCAGCCAGCGACCCATGAAGGTGCCAGTGGTGGGTCGAGAGCGAGAGCCTGTGGTGCCCACCTGGGAAGCCGGCCCTGGAGCAGAGTTGGTTTTGCCATCACTTGGTTTCATTGTGTTCCCAGATGAAACAGGGCAGGGGTGGCAGGAACGGCTGTTAGGAGGGGCCCGTGGTCCGTCCCCTGCACCTGCCAGCCGCTGACCGCCCTGTGCCCGCAGGTGGTCCGTCTCACGTGGTGGGCCGTGTGCCGGGACTCCGTGTACTACACCCTGTCTGTCATCGTGCTCATTGCGGTGAGTGGGGCCCCTGCCCTGGGATGTGGCAAAGGCACAGAACCCCTCCCACGCGGGGCCCTGCTGCCGGAACCTCAGAGCACCGACGCCGGCCGATCGCCGTGCGCCCCTCCGCCAGTGCTCCCCGGCCGCGACCTCCCGGGCGGCCATGCGCACAGACTAACACCAGCTTAGGGGCTCCTGCCCCCCGGGGTGCTGCATCAGTGGAGGTTTCCCAAAGCAGTGAAGGCCTCCTGATGAAATTCTACGAGATGGTGAAGTGCAGGCATCCCTTCGTGTCCGTGCCAAGTGCCCTACTGGGGAGTTGAGTGCTTACAAAATACTTTGCCTTGGAAGGCAGAGTCAAGCGAGAGGCTTGGCCTCTGTTTCAGTATCCGGCAGGTGGATCAGAACGTTCGTGACGCGTGCGCAGTGTGGGCGGAGTTTATCAGAACGTTCGCGACGCGTGCGCAGTGTGGGCTGACCGCCACTGGGCTCACATGTGTTACAGTACGCCCTCCCTGGCCCTCGATCGGGCTGTGAAAACTCAGCCCCAGCAGTGTCCCACAGGACCCCCTGCTGGTGGTACCACCCCCCCCCCCATTGGGGACCACTTCTTAGAGTTTGGGGAGCCCCCTGCCTGCCTGAGACACTGTCTCAGAAGTGGCTTCCCAAAGCGCTGCCTGTGTGTGCTGCCCCGTCTCTCCTGGCACCCCATGTAGGGTCCCTTGTGTCTCCAGAGACGGGGGCGGGGGGCAGCCCTCTCTGCCTCCTTTCCAGCTGGGGCCATTGCAGGAGCCTCCCCAGGGATGGATAGAGATGAGAGGGGCTGCGTTGGGACTTTGGGCTGGCACCATTAAGCAGGCGGAGAATCCGATGAGTCTCGCCTGCAGCCCCTGGGGTGGCGGTCGCCTGTCTCCGTGCGAGTCCAGGGAAGCCGATGGTGTAACTCCCCCGGCGAAGGTCTGAGCGCCCAGGGGTGGCCGCTGCGGCTGCTGCTGTAAGTCCCAGAGGCCAAGGGCCCCAGCACCTGGACTTGTCACGCCCGAGGGCAGGCAGGGACCGCTCCCAGCTGCAGTGGAGAGGAGGCACGCTCGCCTGTCTCTGCCCTTGGGCTCTGTCTGGGCAGTGCCAGGCAGTGGGAGGGCGGATCTTGCAGGTCTCTCCTGGAACAACCCTCACAGACACACTGGAAACAGGAGGGTCTTCCAAAAGTGTGTAGAAAAACAGCGGGAAGAGGGGCTTCACCTATGTAACAATGTTGGAATCCATGCATAGTTCTCAGGAACCTCCATGAAATGCCCTTATGATGCTGTCCCAGCTCTGGGTGCCTCTGAGCCCAGCCAGGTTGACACCTACATTAACCTTGACATTGAGCAATGGCACTCCCCAGCCTCCCTTCAAATTGCACAAGCTGGACCTTGGAGTTTCCAAAGGGGTTACTCTTTCTTATCAAGAAAAATAGGGGGCCGGCACCATGGCTCACTTGGCTAATCCCCCGCCTGCAGCGCCGGCATCCCATATGGGCGCCGGGTTCTTGTCCTGGTTGCTCCTCTTCCAGTCTAGCTCTCTGCTGTGGCCCGGGAAGGCAGTGGAGGATGGCCCAGGTGCTTGGGCCCTGCACCGGCATGGGAGACCAGCGCGCCGGCCATAGCAGCCATTTGGAGGGTGAACCAACAGAAGGAAGACCTTTCTCTGTCTCTCTCTCTCACTGTCTAACTGCCTGTCAAACACACACACACACACACACACGCACACACACACATATGCCCACATGTGCCATTTATTCATATATGCAGATGGCTTTTCAGTCTTGAAATTTAAAAAAAAAATTTTGGAGAAGCCAAGAGACAGACACATAAAGAAAGATGCAGCCAGACTCCCATCTGCTGGTTCAGGCCCCAGATGTGTACAGGGGCTGGAGCTGGGAGCCAGCAGCACAGTCCAGGTCCCATGTGCAAGGCAGGAACCCAACTACGTGACATCACAGCTGCGTTCGCGGGCAGCTGGGGTCAGGAACCAGAGGAGGGTGCTGAACCCAGGCCCCCCAGTATGGGACACACGTGTCTTAACCGCAAGGCCGAGTACTCATCAAGCAACCAAGGTTTCGTTATGTGGATTTATTTTTACTGAAATACTGCATTCATGCCAAAAGTGCACACGAGTGCACAAATGAGTATTTTGTCCTCTGAGCACTGGCTCCCAACCGGCACTGAAATCAAGAGAACATTGCTAGCACCACTAGAGCCATCACTATTCCCCCCTTCTGTTTCGTTTTCTGTATGTGGCAAAGAAGAGTATATTGCCATTTACATGGTATGTTTTAGCAAAACAATGTTTATAACTAAATACCAAATGATATGATATCCATGCAATTTTTAGACTCTAGTAATTTCCACAAATCGGAGAGAACAGGGCATGTTTGGTTTTTTTGAGTCTGGCTTGTTGCACTTAGCAGGGTGATCTCCAGGTGTATCTACTTTGTGGCAAACATCAGGATTTCATTCTTCTTTATGACAGAGTAATATTCCATCCCGTCTCTGTACCTCGTTTTCTTTAAGCCTGTGGAAGGGTGTCTGGGTGGGTTCTGTGTCTTAGGGGTTGTGAGTTGAGCTGCTATCAACCTGGGAGTGCAGGTATCTCTTTTACATGCTTCCTTGATGTTAGCAAGTCTCTCCCATTAATGAGGGGGGGACCCTGCGGGGGCAGCCCCCAGCAACTACGTGGGAGTCCTAGTGCCCAGGCCATCTCTCCTGGGACAGCCACATGTCAGCATCCTGCTGGCCCAGGTTTCAGCTAAGGAAAGGTGACCTTCACCGTGACCTTCTGTAGTTGAGAGGGGGCCAGTGGGCGTTGGCGCTGGGGGCTGGGGGCGGGGGCTGCGTTGTTGCTTCTTCTGAATAAATATCCCCCCCACCCCCCCACCCCCATTTCTTTTGCCTTTCAGTTCATATATGATGAAGAAATCGTGTGGTAAGTTTCTTGTCTATTTCTCACTGTTCTATTCTTGGTTTCTTTCCAGTGTCTGTGTGTGTTGGGTCCGCTGAATCTTTAAGATTATTTTTACAAACATAAACCTGTTAAACTGTGAAAGTGAAAAGGGTGTCGTTCTGAGCGACCATGCCTTTATCCTTTCAAAATGAGAAGAATAGTTCTGCGCACTGCTGCTGTCCTGGGAGCTGTGCAGACCCGTGTAGAGCTGAAGTAGTCGCAGAGTGAGGAGGAGCGGGGCTGATAGGGAATCCGGGCGTGGGTCTGTTCCTGGTGGGGGGGAGGGGCGTGGATCTGTTCTGGGGGGAGCGTGGGTCTGTTCCTGGTGGTGGTGTGGGGAGCATGGGTCTGTTCCTGGGGCGGGGGGGGGAGCATGGGTCTGTTCCGGGGGGGGCGTGGGTCTGTTCCTGGTGGGGGGGCGTGGGGTCTGTTCCTGGTGGGGGGGAGCGGGGGTCTGTTCCTGGGGGGGGGCGTGGTCTGTTCCTGGTGGGGGGGGAGGGCGTGGGTCTGTTCTGGTGGGGGCATGGGTCTGTTCCTGGTGGTGGTGGGGGAGCATGGTCTGTCCTGGGCGGGGGGGGGGAGCATGGGTCTGTTCCGGGGGGGGTGTGGGTCTGTTCCTGGTGGTGGTGGGGGGAGCATGGGTCTGTTCCTGGGCGGGGGGGGGGGGAGCATGGGTCTGTTCCGGGGGGGGGCGTGGGTCTGTTCCTGGGCGGGGGGGGGGAGCGTGGGTCTGTTCCTGGTGGGGGGGGCGTAGGTCTGGTCCTGGGGGGGGCGTGGGTCTGTTCCTGGGCGGGGGGTCGTGACAGGCTTCCTGCTGGGGCAGTGAGGGAGGGATGAGGGTCTTCAGCGCCGCAGGGACAGCCGTGCCACACAGAACAGCCTGACGCCAGATCCCTCCCTCACACCCTATGCAAGAACAAATTCCAAGTGAGCTGAAGATCTTATGGCCAAAAGCAAAATGTTTTAAAACTGTAGAAGAAAAATAGGGGCCTATTGTTAGGACAGTGAAGTAGGATTGGATTCCTGAATTAAGATACCGAAAGCTCACGCTTCCTAGGGTGTGGGGGCCTCTTAGCATCTGTCAGGCAGAGAAGGTTCCAGTCTGCATGCTGGGAGGATGTTCCGATGACCTGACCTGAGCAGTGGGTGCCGGGGGCCCAGAGAGGCCTGCAGGTCCCACCCCTCCCCACTCCGCTCCTGGGTCCCACGTTCTGTAGATGGAGCTGGGGCTGCAGAGGTTTGGGGGTCTACAAGTTCCTCTCTGGCTCTGCTGGCCTGAGGGTCCCTTGTCAGCACAGGAAGCCTCCCCCGCCCCTGCCCCCACCCCACAAATGACTGTAGCCCCTGCCTGGCACACAGAGGGCCTCCTACATGTTTGTCACATGGAGCTTGTGTGGCTCCTTGGGGGCCCGTGGTCAGAGCTACAAAAACCCCCACTGCCCATGGGGTTCGGCTGCACCCACGAGAGAGCAGTAGCAGCATGTCCCAAGGCGACCCCACTGTGCTGCCATGCCCAGCGGACAGCCACTGGTGGCCCTGGCCCTGGCCCTCCCCGGCCCTGTGTTAAGTCAGCTCTCAGCCCTCACCCCAGCCACTGGGCCCCTTTCTCCTGCACCCAAAGCCCCTCCTGTCCTGACCAGGATCTAGGTTTTCTTGGGATTGAATCCTGGGCCGTGGCAGGCTGTGGAAGCCCCCTCAGCGCATCCCTCTCAGGCTCAGGACAGCCACGGGGTGGGAGGGGTGGGCTTCTCAGCCCCTGGGCCTGGGCGCTGGTGGGGGAGGTGGGGCACACATCCCAGCCTCCTCGGCCCCCTGCACTGTGCAGCCCGCATCTCTAACCTCACGCTGCTTTCTCTCTTTGAGGTGGGAAGGCCTGGTGCTCATCGTGCTGTATGTGTTTTATATTCTGATCATGAAGTAAGTGCCTCTTCGCTTGCCCCTGCGGGTTCTTCTGCAGCGACAACAACAACACGTTCCTTTGAGAGGCAGGCAGGGCGTGTTCCCGTCCGCGGCAGGCAGGGCGTGTTCCCATCCGCGGGTTCACTCCCCAAATGCCCGCAGCAGCCGGCGTGCAATCTGAGTTTCCCACGTGGCTGGTGGGGACTCGAGTGCTGGAACCATCACGTGCCGCCTCCCACGGTGTGCTCAGCAGGAGGCTGGAGGCAGGCAGGGAACCCAGGCCCCTGCTGTGGGACACAGGCGCCCTAAGGGACATCCTCGCCCTGAGCCAAGTACCCACCCCTGCCCTCCTAGACTCTGCTGGCTTGCCCCACTGCCCACTCCAGCCTTTGGCTACAGCGAGGGAAATCCTTCCGGCTAGCTAGGCCAGCCCGGGTTCACAGTGGGTGTGCCCAGAGTTGGGAAGAGGTGTTCAGACACCATCTTGGGCAGTGCTGTCTACACCCGGACCAGGCCAGCCATGCTGAGTGGCAGGTGCGTGTAGGATGAGGCCGCTTCCCAAACCTGTAGAGCAAGGACATCCATCCCGCCCACTCTGGGCAGCTTCTCCCTGCCCAGCGGAGCCTCTGTTCCCTGCCACGTGAATAAACTCCTTGTAATTCCACACCGTTCTTTACCAAAAGCCGGGCAGCGTCACTTCTGCTCCAGGCTTCGTAAAATTCCACTTCCTGGCCCGGCTGCAGGGAGCACCACCCGTAGGGCTGGGGACACCTGAGGAGGAAGTTAGTTCTGTCCCGTGCTCTGGCATGGATGGACCTCGAAAACACCACGCCAGGTGCAGGAGGCCTGGTGCAGAGAGAGACGTGTGGTTCCACCTACGTGAGGCAGCTGGGAGGGTCGCAGGTGTTGATGCAGAACATGGATTAGCGATGAGTGCCGGGGCAGGGGAGGGGTGGTGGAGAGTCGCTCATTGATGGGTGCAGCGCTGGCGTGGGGCAGGATGGGAGCATGTTGGGACGAGTGGCGATGGTCACACAGCCATGTGCACCTGAAAGTGGGAAATAATGAAAATGACACATTTTATGTTACGGATATTTTTTTCCACCAAAACATCACAAAAAAAGGGAAATGAAACCACGACGAGCTGAGCCACGCCCAGTCGTCCTCCTCCCACGCCCACACATCACTACAAAGGAAGCACGCTGGGGTTTCGGAGGATGAAAATCCTCCCGTTTCTGTAGGACGTTGGTGGCATTTTCTAAAAATGGCGAGGGGCTGCCAAGTAGCCGCAGAGTGGCCTTGAAGGCTCTCCTACACCTGCCGACGCCGAGCGGCCCGAGGGTCTTTGCCATGGAGCAAGACAGAGTCCCATGGGAGGGGCAGGGCGCAATGCTGGCTGTAAGTGATGCAGCCCCCCACCCCCACCCCACCAGCAGCCCTGGGAGCAGATTTTGCAGGGCACTGGGAGCAGGGGGAAGGGAGAGCACAAGTTACGCCCCCTGCAGGCTGCGTGAATTTCTGTTCTCCCGACCTGTGGTAAGTGGACCTCCATCAGTTTCTTGGGCGGAGGTTTCTTGGGTCCCCAGGAAGCTGCCCAGGAGCACGGTCCCCAGGCTGCACCTGGCTTGGGGTTGTTGTCAGGATCCTCTCCCAGCTCAGCTGAGCGCTCGCCCACTCCTCCCTGGCTGTCCTCTCCCCACCCCCGCCCCTTGGTCCATGCGCTGCGGGATACAAGGCCCCCAAGATACCCTGCCCCTGTGCCTGCTCAGAGGGACTCGCCTCTACTGCTCTGACCACCCGGCTGCCCTGCCTTTCAGGTACAATGTGAAGATTCAAGCCTTTTTCACAATCAAACAAAAGAGCATCGCGAACGGCAACACGGTCAACAGCGAGCTGGAGGATGGTAATGCTTTCTATGACTGTGGCTGTGATGACCCCTCCATGCCATTGCTGGGGCAAGGTAAGGCTGAGCAGACAGGAGCGGTGGCCATGTGCCGTGGGACCACCCTCCCCCTCCTCCGTACGCACATGCACACACACACACACACACACACACACGCTCCTCCTGGACCGGCACCCTCTGGCTCTCACAAGTCCCCTGAGTCCCTGAATCCCAAGGGAGAGCCGGTATTTGAGAGGTTGCTCAGACTGGCGTTTGCTTAGAAGGCAGAAGGATGGACGGCAAGTGCCACCCAGAAAGAAAAACTCAGTGGTTACATCCGGAGAGTGTCCCCAAGTCCCCAGGGAAGGGGCAAGGGGGGCCGTGGCTCTTTGGAGATGCAGCAGGCTCCGGCCTTGGGGTTGGCAGAGCCACCTAGGCTGCGCTGTGGCTCCCGACACTGGGCCCAGTGCTGAAGGGCTCACTGAGGCCACAAAGGCCAGGTCCTGAGTTGTGCAGCCCGGCGTGGAGCCATCTCAGAGCCCCGCTCCGAGGAACAGCAGGCCCAGGGAGGACGGCTGTGGGGCAGGGTGGCAGCCCAGGCCAGCCCCTGGTGGGTCTGCTTGGGAGCCCCTTGCCCTGGGCCAGCAGCCTTGGGCTGGAATCTGTGTCCCTCAGCCCCCCCACCACTCTTCCTCCTGGAGTGGATTGAGGTAGGGGTTTCTTCCATGCACATGTTGGACAGGTGTGTCTTGTCCAGCCCCAGGTCACCTCCAGGGGCGACACACTTGTCACAGAGGCTCTGTTGGGGGTGTGCCTCTCGATATGGAAGGAAGACTCATGATGGGGCGGGAGTGCAGGTGCGGTCATGGCCACAGCCTGGCTGCCAGAGGCTTGCCCGCAAGGGCCAAGAGTAGAAGCCCATGGAGCGCAGTTTGACCCCTGCGTGCCCAGCAGGCTGCCCCGGGGAGCCCGTTTCCAGGATGACTGCCTCGGAGGGGGAGGCCCCCACTGGAGGCTGTTTTGGTCTCCAGCTGTGCAGTCACCATGTAGTCCAGCAGGATGGAGGCTGACCTGCCCTGCACCTCCATGGTGCTCCCGGGACCTCCCACCCTTCTCAGGCCGGAGACCGGGTGTTGTTCAGACCAGGAGAAAATGCCTGGTTCACAGGGGTGGCCCCCGAGCTGCCTGCTGCAAAGCACGCCCGCCCTGGTGCCCTGGGAGCCGCGCTCCTCGTTGGCAACCCGGGGCCTCCACGCCTCGCCCTTCCCAGGGGCATCCAGGCTCCCCGGCGGCCGCTGCCCACGTGGCTCCTTTCTGGGCTCGGTCATGACTCTGCCGCCCTCACTTTTGTGGCCGATACAGTCTGTCCACAGATTTCATATTCTCCCTCAAATCTCTGTAAGGACATGTTCTAGAAAACTGGGAGACTGGCCGCAGGACTGGCCCCTCAGTGCTCCCTGGGGACAGGGAGAACCCGGGTCTCCCTGTGATTTTTATCTGATGAATGTCAGGCCGAGGGAGAGGAGGGTCCCCCGGGGTCCCAGGAGAGGGGCGTGCAGCCCTGGGTCCTGGAATCAGAGTGGAGGGCTAGAGACATGAGCTTCAGGGGCTTTGGGCCCTGGTCCTCACTGCCCCGTAGGAGGCTCCCTGAGAGCAAGTGCGCTGTCCCCTAAGTAGATGTGACCGCAGCAGGGGGAAGGAGCACCTGTGACACCAGGTGGGGCGGAGGGGACTGGGTCCTAGGGAAGCTGCCTTTGCCAACGGTGTTTGCCTGGGCTCTCGTGGCTGGAGATGTCAGAACCCCCAGCAACCTCAGCCCCCGGCAGGTGCAGCGCCACCCACAGCAACGGGAGGGCTGCCGGCTGGGCGGGTCTCTCCGGAACACGCCTGCCTGGGCCCTGAGTTTGCTGCCGTGAGTTTGGGTGTTTCCCATGTGAAGTCTGCATGTGACCGTTTCCTGGAAGGCCGTGCAATTCAGCTCCCCAGCTCGATCCTGGCTGGTTTCCAGGCAGCCTTTGGCACAGCCTGGCAGCCGGGGCCACTGGCTGCCATGTTGTACCCAGCTGGCCTTGCTCAGAGCACTCACAGGGGGGCCTTGCAGGCTGCCCTGGCCCTGGGCATACCTTGGCCTTGGAGTGGGGTTGGGGGAGGTGCTACCCGGCCTTGGGCATCACTGCAGGAGAAACAAGCTGTGATCCAGTTACCCCGTAGGCTGCCACCTTTGGCTCGGACATGCCACCTTGGGCCATCGCTTGGTGGGTAGCGCTGGACAAGGTGCCCAGGAGCTAGAACCACAGCTCTTGCCTCCCAGGGCTCCCTGCCTGCCCTCCTTGAGCCCAGCCATTCTGCCTTGCAGTGGCTGTGACAGGGCTGTTGCCACAGGGTGGAGCCCGGAGCCTTGCGGTGTCGCTGGTGCCCCCTTCCTCTAAGAGAGAGGGGTCCTGAGCATGCAGGCTCCCTGTGGCAGGAGCCCGCTACTAACACCCTCCTCCAGTAACCCCCTGGCGTCTTCACCACCGCCCAGGCTGTGGCCCAGACCCCTCCGCACGCTGAGCGTCTCCGCCGGTCTCTGTGGGCCTCTGTCTCCTAACAATCTCCTCTTCTAAATTGTAAGTAACCCGCTCTCATCCAAGCAGTAACACACGCATTTCAAAAGCCAAAAAGACACCAGGAGCCCAGCCCAAGGACCCATGCCTCCTTGGAGGTTCGTGTCCCTGCGGGGCAAATGCGTAGTCCTGCGGCTTCCTTTGCTAACCACCTGCCTCCTGTCTGCTGAGCCTTGCTGCCTGTTCGGGGAGGGGGTCTGTTTTGTGCCCTTAACTCTTGCATGGCCATCTCTGGGGGCTCTCTGTTCCGTGCAAGGCACACTCACTGGGGACTGGGAAGAGGTGCAGAGGCAAAGCTGTTTGACAGCTTCCTGGGGGCGGAGGCTCATCCGGCTTCTAGGCGCTGTGGGCATGAGTGCTTTGGTCGCAAGGCTCTCCCAGCGAATGGGGTCAGTTGTCAAATCCCCCGCCAGCGAGCCCATTTGCATAGCTGGCGAGGAAGAGGCCTGGACACCCAGAACTTTGTTCAGCTTCCCGAGGGGAAGGAGAGGGTCCGAGAGAGCAGCCTCCCTCCTGGGGGGTGGTAGGGCTTTTCAGAGGCACTGGGCTCAGCCAGCTGCTCCCCTACGCACCCCTGGGCAAGCAGGCGCCCCTCGGGGATACGGCCCTTTGATCACCGCTTACCTTTTAGAGAGCCAGGGTCTGCGTGACCTCCCCGCTGGTGCTGTGATCGGCAGAGCAGGGCGCCTGCGGCATTTCTCATCCCCCGGGAGCCCTGTCGGGTGTGACATTTCACCCGAGCCTCTGTAAACGGGGAGTGAGCACCCCCCCACGGTCACGGGTGAAAGGTGAGGCTTAGACGGGGACTGAACGATGCTCAGGCTCAGCCTTAGAGACAGGCGTGGAGGTGGAGGTGGAGAGTCTGCCCGTGAGTGGCCCTGTAGCAGGGCACCCCTGGGCTCCATGAGCAGGTGCCTCAGTGCCGCTGACCCATCTTAATGGGAGGAGCTGCAGCCAAGCACCGGGACACCTGGGTTTGCAAAATGCAGGGGAGTTCGTGGTACTGAGCCTGGGCGTGGCCCTCTGAGAGGTCAGCACTAACCCCGGCTTTGTGCTCAGCAGTGAAGGAGAAGCCACAGTACGGCAAGAGCCCAGTGGTGATGGTGGACGAGATCATGAGCTCCAGCCCCCCCAAGTTCAGCTTCCCGGAAGCGGGCTTACGCATCATGATCACCAACAAGTTTGGGCCCAGGACCCGCCTACGGATGGCTAGCAGGATCATCATTAACGAGGTAGGTCTGTCTGCTCCAAGTTCAAGGGCGGGCTCTGGAGTGGAGGCCTTCGCTTCCGAGGGCTCCTGGCCATGTCTGTCGCTGCCCCTGTTTAAGGAAGGCAGCCCTGGTGCCTCCAGTAGCCGAGACACCTGCTGCAGGCCGTGCGTTCTCCTTCCAGAGGGCGTCTAAAGCAGGCTGCGGCCCAGTCCCGTGCCGAGAAGCCTCTGGTCAGACAGCAGAGTAGAGCTAACCGGGGGAAGGGCAGTGTGGAGTAGGGGTGTGTCTCTAAAATGTCATATAGGGGGAAGGAAGAAAGAAAACCTGGTCTCTGTGGGCGGAGCAACCCGAGGAGGAAGCTCGGATGCTGGTGGGTGGTGGTGGCCCGGGGCTCCCCCGTCACTGTCGCTGCATCACTGGAATTCTGGGCCATGTGTCTCCCTCTGCTTTGAAAACAAGAACAATTGTGATTGTTATGCAAGTGTGAACAGCACAGCAAAGATGATGGGCTTACTAATTTTTTCTGGTCTCTGTGGGAGAATGGAATGGAAGTTGAGCCCGGGAGTGGGCATTGTGGCCCAGCGGGGTAAGCCATGGCTTGGGACGCCTGCGTTTCATGTCACGGTGCCTGGGTACAAGACCTCCGCTTCTGAGCCAGCTTCCTGTTACATGATGCCTACCCTTCGAGGCAGCAGCTGGTGACACAAGGGCTTGGGCCCCTGCCACCCACATGGGAGACTCAGGTTGATATCCTGGCTTCTGCCTGGCCTGGCCTAGCTGTTGCAGGCATTTAGGGAATGAACCCGCAGATAGAAGATCCCTTTCTCTAGCTCTCTTTCTTCCTCTGTCACTCCTCTTTTCAAATATATAAATGAACATTTAAACAGATAAGTTTATTTTGGTGCAAAAATTTTTTTGAAGACATATTTGTTTATTTGAAAGGCAGAGTTAGAGAGAGAGAGAGAGAGAGAGAGAATGAGAGAATCTTCCATCCACTGTTCCACTCCTCAGTTGGAGTGGGCCGATCTGAAGCTAGGAATCAGGAGCTTCTTCTGGGTCTCCCATGTGGGTGCTGGGGCCCAAGCACTTGGACCATCTTCTGCAGAAAAGTAAGCACCGTTTTTTTTAAAGTCAGAGTTACAGAGTCAGAGGCAGAGAGAGAGAGGTCTTCCATCTACTGGTTCACTCCCCAAATGGCTGCAAAGGACAGAGCTGTGCCGCTCCAAAGCCAGGAGCCAGGAGCCTCCTCTGGATTTCCCACGTGGGTGCAGGGATCTAAGCATTTGGGCCATAGCAGAGAGCTGGATCAGAAGTGGAGCAGCCAGGACTTGAACCAGCACCCATATGGATGCCAGCATGGCAGGCGGCTGCTTTATCTGCTATGTCACAGTGCCGACCTCAGCATCTTTTAATTCCATTTTTCCACGGACTTTCTGAAGTACCCTCATATACGTGCACACCAGAATTCTAAGTCCCTGTTCTCAGAGGCAGTAGTGAAAGCACTTGAGGCTGTGATCACTGATGTTTAGAAATTAGCACACAGGGCTGGCGCCGTGGCTCGCTGGGCTAATCCTCCACCTGCGGCGCCGGCACCCTGGGGTTCTAGTCCCAGTCGGGGCGCCGGATTCTGTCCTGGTTTCTCCTCTTCCAGTCCAGCTCTCTGCTGTGGCCCGGGAGTGCAGTGGAGGATGGCCCAAGTGCTTGGGCCCTGCACCCCATGGGAGACCAGGAGAAGCACCTGGCTCCTGGCTTCGGATTGGCACAGTGCGCCGGCCGCAGCAGCCATTTGGGGGGTGAACCAACGGAAAAGGAAGACCTTTCTCTTTGTCTCTCTCTCTCACTGTCCACTCTGCCTGTCAAAAAAAAAAAAAAAAAAGAAATTAGCACACAGATGATATGCAAGAAAGATGTCTCCCAGCACTAACAGGCTCTGCATTTCAAACTTGCCTGCTTCAACTTCATACACAGCCTGCCCAGTCTGCGGAACTGAGAAACCAAAGACTTTTCCAAGCTGCTTTGAACAGTTTTGGTTCAAATCAGTAAGTCTGAGTCCCTGAAATTTTACTGAATCTCAGATGTTTTTTCCAAGTGTAACCATTGTGCCCCGGGTGCTGGTGGGGGCAGAGGGAAGCAGGGGATTGGTGTTGAACACACTTAAGGCGTGGAGACTTCTGTTTACGGTGTGTTCTGCCAATTGCACGCAGCCAGGAATATCATAGGTTTTGATAGGTTGGTCAATGCTGGTTGCCATGCCCCAGCTGTTTCAAGCTGCTGGGATAAACTTGGTCTTCCACCGCATGGTACCGGCCCACCCTGAAGGCGGTGAGGGGAGCCAGCGAGGCCAGGCTCAGGGAGGAGGGATGCAGGTTTTAACCTCACATTGGCCGGTGATGGGTTCATCTCCTTGGCCCTCGTTTTCCCTGTGTGGGGGAACTGGACAGGAAGGCTTCAGCCATGCACACTGAAGAACCGCCCACGCCCAGAGATCACGCAGACTTACGGGAACAACTCATCACGGAGTGGGAGTCGGGGCGGGTGGGAGACCACAAGCGCCCAGTTGCAGCGCTGTTTCTTAAGCCCCCTTGGCCTCATTTCCTCATTGGTCATTTCCCTTTGAAAGATGTATTGATTTCAAAGGCAGTGAAAAGGCCATCTTCTGCTGCCTTCCCAGGTGCCTTAGCAGGGAGCTGCGTTGGAAACAGAGCAGCTGGGACTCGAACCTGCTCTGTGAGAGGGGCCAGTGCTGGCTTCTTGGGTCATTCTAATTCCAGTCTAGTCTGTGGGAGGGAGACACAGCATCAAGTCCTAGGTGTCAATCCAGTCGCACCCCTGCCGCCTCCCGTCGGTGTCTGTCCCCTCACTGTGCACAGCCCCTGCCCACGTCACTGAGGTGGCACAGCCGGGGCCACTGCTAATCCGCATCCTAGGAATGGCCGCCCTGGCCTGACAGGGCTCCTGGCCTCACTGTCTAGGGTGCACCTGCGGAGAGCCTCGGGTTCATCTCTCTCAGCCTGTGGATCCGCCGCCTCCTCTGTGTCGTAATCTGTTCCTCTTTTGATATACCCTGGCCTATCTCTAGGTATTTTTTCCAGGTACAATCTCTGTAGATTTCTATCGAGCTAGAGTAGGAGCAGCCTGGATTTTGCTACTGGGCCACATGCTTCCCCTTAGAGTTCAGCCCCAGCACGGCTGGTTTTCTTGGACTCCAAGGACAGCCTGTCCTTGAGCCTTCCTTGGGTAGAAAACTTTTATGCCTGCACGTCTGGGCCTGAGGCTCGGGCACAAATCGCTTTGCTCTTTTGGGTGGGTTGTGTTGTGGACTCCATGGGAAAAACCTTAAAGCTGTCCGCTGCTCCCTAGACTGCGTGATCTCAACGGGAGGGCGGGACACAGTTCTTTCTTCTGAGACGCTGCCGCGTTAAGTGATGGTGGCCTGTCCCCCAGACGACCAGGATAAGGGGTTGGGAGACACCCACGCTGTCCCTCGGGCTCCTGCTGCAGCAGCTGGGAGGGGTGTCTGTGTCTACTGTGTGACTTCCGGCTGGTCTGAGATGCTGGCTGAGCACTGGGGGAGGGCAGTCGTGCAGAGAGCAGGAAGCCCCTGGATGAGGGGACGCCACAGGCTGTTGTTTGAAACTTGGCCTCTGTCTCTGCTTGGTTTAGTAGACACCCACAGACGGGGCCAGGAAAGCGGCCTGGGCTCAGGGGCGGGGGTGGGGGGAGACCCCCTTTGTCAGCAGTGCGGTGGGAAGAGGGAAGGGGATGGGGCTGGCCACATTCCGCAGTCTTGGTGTGAGACTTGAAGGAGGAGGCAGCCCTGTAAGACACTTAGCATCTCAGCCGCTGCGGAAAGCAAACCACAGCCGTAGACACAGACACACTCCTCCCGGGATGGCTGCAGTTGAAGGATTGATGATAGCGAGAGTTGACAAGGTTGGGAGGCCACTCAAGTTCAAAGCCAGTGCAAGCGGGCAGTGATTCCACTCACACCAGCAGCCCCGCTCCCAGGGAGGCACCCCAGAGGCGTGAGTGTGTCCACAAAAACAAGTCCGCATGTAGTCACAGCTGAGCCTTCGTGGTAAGTCAAAAGGAGAAGCCTCCCACGTGCCCCAAATAGGCAGAGAAGACCTTGTGGGTCACTCATGCAGTGCGGGACCACGTGGCCGTGAGCGAGAGCCCCTGCAGGGGTGCGAGGGAGTCACGGGCACTCGGCTGCCTGCAAGGCGCCGAGCACGGGGTGACATAAGCAGTTGGACTCTGTGTGGGGGGGTCGGGGTTGGGGGAAGCTGCTCGACATTACAGCAGCCAGGCTCGAGGGCACCTCGGCGGTCACTTTCCATGTTGGACGCCACCAAGCCACATCCCTAGAGTGCTTTTCTGCACGATGTCGTCTTCAAAGGTTGCAGAAGCCGTGTGGCCCTTTCCCATGGCTGTCCCCAGAAGAGCCCGGGGTGACCGCTGCTGTGGGGGTCTCGGGCTGTGCTCCCGAGCTAGTGTTAAGCCAGGGGGAGGCCCAGGGCCTGCAGTCCTCAGAGGCTTCCCCGGAACAGAAACAAGGTCCTGCCGGCGCTGTGGCTAAATAGGCTAATCCTCCGCCTTGCGGCACCGGCACATCGGGTTCTAGTCCCAGTCGGGGCACCGGATTCTGTCCTGGTTGCCCCTCTTCCAGGCCAGCTCTCTGCTGTGGCCAGGGAGTGCAGTGGAGGATGGCCCAGGTGCTTGGGCCCTGCACCCCATGGGAGATCAGGATAAGTACCTGGCTCCTGCCGTCGGATCAGCACGGTGCACCTGCCACGGCAGCCATTGGAGGGTGAACCAACGGCAAAGGAGGACCTTTCTCTCTGTCTCTCTCTTTCACTGTCCACTCTGCCTGTCAAAAAAGAAAAAAAGAAAGAAAGAAAGAAAGAAACAAGGTCCTAGGGTTGGCTCCAGGCGACCCTGTCTGGAGAGGTGTCGTTGCAGACCCCATGAGAGCTGGGGGTGTGTAAGGGACAGGGTGACAGCGGGACGCTTGGTCTCACCCCACTGTGTCCGTCTCGCCTCCTGTCCGCACAGCGGCAGAGACTGATCAACGCGGCCAACGGAGTGAGCAGCAAGCCGCTGCAGAATGGGCGGCCCGAAAACATGGAGAACGGCACCGTTCCCACGGACAACCCCGAAGAGCCGCGCCAGGACCAGGACCAGGAGCAGCCGCCGCCGCCGCCGCCACCGGAGCCCCAGCCGGCTGAGGCTGTCTTCCTGTCCCCCTTCTCCGTGCCCGGTGAGTTCTGGGGCACTGGGTGCTCCGACAGCACAAAGCCCAGGGCTTCAGGGTGGAGGCCTGGGCTGTGAGGGTGCTGGCGAGCTGGGGTGCAGAGAGGACAGAGGGCACCAGAATGCCCGGGAGGCAGCTGCTGCATCCGTCCTCAGAGGTGCAAGAGCTCCAGCGGGCTACAGGCTCCGCCGAGGGTGCTGGGGCTGCGGGCTGCTGGCCAGGGAGGCACCAGGAACCCTAGCAATCTGATGAACCGCTCAGGGTGGCTGGTCTTCGTTTTGCTCGGGGGAAGCAGCACCCGTGCTACTTGGAGGGACGTCCTCGCCCGCTCTCCAGCCTTGTGGCGTGGGCCGGCCCTTCTGTCTGCGCGTTGCTCATTTGCTGGGACAGGATTTCCCAGTGCTGAAGCTGACCCTTAGACAGTGACACCTTGTGTGTTTAGAGATGTCGCCTCCGCATGAGTAAGTTGGAGCAGACCACTGCTCTGCCCCACGCCCTCCACTGTGCCCAGCGCACTGGGTGTCTGACCTCGGAGTCCCGTGTCGCCTGACTGCTGGCCCCCAGCCCACCTCACTTCCTGCTCCTTTGCTCCAGCCACACGGGCCTCCTCGCCTCCATTCCTAGAACTCACCAGGTGTGTACCTGCCTCAGGACCCTTGCACTTACGGAATGCAGTGTCCCCATGACTCCCGTCTGCCCCACAGGGCAGGCGCCTGTGTGGGTCTCGTCCACTGTCGGATCCCCCATGCCTGTGCTTGGCACACAGGAGCCACTTAGGAGACATTGCTGGATGAGTGAATTCCGGACCCGACCAGTCTGCCTTTGTCTTTGACCAGACCTTCGCAGTGCTAGGAGGTAGACAGCCTGAGCTCTGTGGCCCCATATCCTGGAGGGATTCTTGGGGTTTTGATTGTGGTTTGTTTTTGTTTTTTTCTGACATCCATGTTCATCTCAAGAGGCAGCAGAATTCCAGGACCTCCAAGGGCAGAACTGTGGTTTTCTAGAGAGTTCCGTGTTTAGCCTGCCTCGGCACGTGGAGTTCCTCTGTGGAAAGGGGACTCCGCGTGCTCTGCCGCCTGCCTGGTGCTGGCTCTGTTGGGGGTCATGGATGACCTTGGAGTTTCTGGATTGAGGCACGGGGCACACTCGTCCCAGCCACCCAGGGGCTCACTCTAAAAAAAAAAAAAACTCCAGGCCTTTGAGCCTGCACTTCCTGGCCCTTTCTGGGTGACTCTGGCTGCTTGGGAGCTGCTGGGCCTGGTTAGCGCCTCCTGGCCCTGCTTCAACATGAAGGGAAGAAGCAGAAGATGACACGTGACCTCTGAGGGTACAGAGAAGCCCAGCCCCGAGGGTCAGCATCCCTGGGCCCTTGTGCTTGACCAGGGGGCCAAGGGCACTGGCATCCTGGCCCTGCTCTGATACATGCGTGGCCCGGAAGCCGCATGAGGCACCAAGGTCACGTTGAGCCCACCTGTCTGGTGGGAGGGAGGGTCGCACCGAGCTGGGACAGGAGCTGGGGCCCTAGGGAGGGGGCAGACACTGAATGCTGTGGGGGTGGCTCTAGGGCCTCACAGGGCAGGGCCGGGGCACAGAGGCAATGGGTCCACCCCGAGAACCAGCTCAGGGGCAGAGGAGGCAGGATGTGGCCTGTTTTTGTGGCAGGGCCTGGCCCAGGCCTAGGCTGGAGCCCCGAGTCCCGCTGCCAGCCCTGTGTTCTCGCATCAGCAGCCCAGCTCCTCTCCACACCCACGAGGGGCTGAGACCAGGACTCGGGGCCCCAGCGCCTAAGGAGTGTCATGTCCTTGGAACCTGGAGATCAGACATCAGGAGGGCAGGACAGGGCTGGGTTGAGGCGACAGCGAGGGGGGCGACCCCGGTCCAGGACCAGCGGAGCTTGTCCTGGTGCGGCAAGGAGGTGTGGGTTGCCTTTGGGGTTGTTCTGAATCCATGTTCTTCAACTTCAAGAGGGGCATCAGCATCCCCTACCTGACAGACAAGGGGCCTGGCGAGGCCACAGCCCCCCCCCCCCCCCACTGCTGGCCTCCATATCTGTCTCCCGATCCTGACTCTGCCCGCTGGCCAGGGGATGCCCTTCTCGGCCACTGGTTATCCCACATCCTGGGAGCCTGACTCCTGCAGGGTTGGACAGGGAGGCCCCTGGGGCCTGCCACCCTTCTCTCTGTCCTGGAATCTGGAGCTGCTCCAAGGCGTGGAGTCCCTGGGCAGGTCACCTGCAGGGAGGGGAACTTGCAAAGGGGTAGCTCCCAGGCTCCCTGCACCTGTGAGTCCACCGCCGCCCTTCCTGGGGGACTTCCTGTCGGAGTTGCCCACCTCCTCCCTCCAGCCACGCCCTTGGACTTGCCCATCCTCTGGGACCGTGCCAGGCTCCCCTCCTTGCCCTCAGGAAGGCCGGGGAAGGAAAGTCCCTTTGTCCCCTGCAGATGTTTTCCAGGCATCACCTTGGGAACCACGAGTGGCTTCCTCCTCCCCTCCCTGTAGGAAGAGCAGGGGCTGGGAGGGGAGCGGCGGCACTCCTGCAGGTGTGCAAGGCAGCCAGGGGAGCAGAGGCTGGGGGCCCACGGTTGACTGGGAATAGGAGCGAGTGGCTACGAGTCCCCACGCAGGAGGAATTCTGCACAGAGCAAGTCGCTGAGACGCGGCCTGCGGGAGGAATTCCACACAGCCGGCTCCGCGCCCTTCCCACTACCTCTTTATGGCTCCTGGCTGGCTCCGTTTCACAGTGACCTGGGGCTGTAGGGGACTCTGAGGGATCCCCCTGGGGGCGGGCAGAACTGGAGTTCTCCCAGAGTGGGCCCCCAGGAGGAATCCCAGGGCCCAGGAGGAGTGCCAAGGGAGGGGTCGAGTGGACAGGGAAGAAGCCAGCGCCGCTGCAGGGGAGGGGAGGACGAGGCCTGGCTCCCGGAGCTCCTCTGGGCACAGCCTGGGGCCGCTCCGGAGTCCAGAGGCCCTGGATTGGATTCTCAGGTCGGGGAGGGGCCTTGAAACAGCTCATGGAAAATGTACATCACGAAAAAAACATGCATGCATTTCAGAAAGGTCTGCTTCAAAATAAATTTATCTGTGCCTTTTTATTTTATTTAAAAATGTTTTTTGCTGATTTATTTCAAAGGCAGACAGAAAGAGAACGTCTGTTGGTAGTTCAATCCCCAGATGCCCACAACAGTCAGTTGGCACCAGGCCAGGTTGGAACCAGGAGCCAGGAATTCAATCCAGGTCTCCTGCATGAGAGGCAGGAAGCCAACTGAGCTGTCAGCGCTGCCTCCCTGGGGAGCTGGAGTCAGGTTCTGGGGCTGGGAGTCAACCCTACTCCTATGTAGGATACCCGTGTCTTAACCCACTAAATTTATCTTTATCTTTTTATTTTTATATATTCGAAAGGCAGAGTGGCAGAGAGAAGGAAAGACAGGGACAGACAAATATCTTCCATCGTCTGCTTCATTCTGCGATTACCAGCAATGGCCAGGAATGAGTCAGGAACTCCATCCGGGTCTCCCATGTGAGTGGCAGGGGCCCAAGCACTTGGGCCATCATCTGCTGCCTCCCAGTTAGCAGGGAGCTGGGCCCGAAGAGGAGGTGCGACTTGATCCCAGGCGCTCCAACTGGGGTTCAGGTGTTCCAAGTGGAGGCTTAACCTGCTGCGCCACTGTGCCCACCCCATAGACTTTTAAAGAATAGATTTACAAAAGTTTAAACGGCAGAGAAACGGACACAGGAGCTTTCTACCTGCTGGTTCACTCCCCAAATGCCCGTAACAGCCAGAGCCGAATCAGGCTGCAGCCAGGAGCCAGGAACTCAGTCTGGGTCCCCAGGAGGGTGGCGGGGACCAGAGGACTTGGGCCGTACATCTGCTGCCTCGCAGTGTGTGTGTGAGCAGGGGCTAGAAGCAGAAGTGGAGCTGGGACTCAGATAAGGGAACAAGGGATGCAGTTGTCCCAGACGGGGTCTGAACTGCTGCTCCGAGCGCCCGCCCCTCCGTGAACTTTCTGAAGCGCTCATGCCTCTCTCCGGCGCTGTGGCCCTGGACAGACGTATTACCTCCCCAGGCCACAGATGGGTGGTGATGTTGATAGTTACCGTGGGGGGAGGGGGCCCTCTGACCGGTAAATAAAGTAATCAGGTCAGGGTCTGTGTACACGCTCTCCCACGGAGCAGGTGCTCAGCGAATGTTCCTTTGGCTCCTCGTGTGCTTTAACTGCATGGCTTCTTCTCGAGCCAGCTTCTTACATCCTCTCCTGTCTGCACCACAGGCAATGTTCTAGGAGGGCCACAAGCGCCAGTAGCCCTGGGGACCTGGGACAGTCACTCATGCCAGGGGCCAAGGGCAGGGGACGAGCAGGCACTGAGCACCCGTTAGGTGCAGGCACTGGGCTTCAGGCACCTTGAAGAGGATGCTTTTCGGAGTCAGTAAATACCTGGGTACCAGCCCCTGTCCTGGGCTCTGGGGATCCAGATGGGAACAGAACAGGCCCCAGTCTCCATCCTTCGGGACCAGGGCAAATCCAGGCACTGACTACACAGTGCGCTTTGTGCCTGGTCTGCCTCCCTTACTGGACAGGCCGGGCAGGGGGAGGCTACAGCTCTTCCCGCCTGGACGAGGGATCACTAAGCCTGCTGGGGCAGAGCCAGGGGCCCCCGCCCAGCAGCTCCTAGGCTCTGGTGCCCGCCATCCCTGTGGACACCAAATGCAGCCTTGCTCTCCACCCTGGGAGCCATGAGGGTGATGGTGGTAGTGAGGCCTCCCGAGCAAAAGGGGGCGCTGTTTTCTCCTGCATGGCCTGCAGCCCTGGCCCTGCCCTGAAATGACCGCCGTGACCCTGAGCCCTACCCGGCGCGGGGAAGCCCCGGTGCGGGTTGGTTGGTTGCGGTTGCCTCAGTGGCTGGGAGGTCATGGGAGGCCTCAGAGGCCACACCTGGGCCCTCCAGCAGGACTTCCGCCCCATTGTCCTCACTGGGGGTGGCCTTCCTGGCTGCGGACCTGGGACCTG